GACCCCTGGGTCTTTGGTTGGAATGGCAGCCCTGGTGATCTCTGAACCATCTTTGGGGTCATTCTTCCCTTTCCTGGAAGAGCAGTGCACATTTGCAACTGAGTAGCTTTGTGGTCTCATCCTGTAAGATCCAAGGAATTCGACAGCCTTCCTTCATTATGTCCTGCTTTAGTTCAATCTAGCACTCTCTCTTTTGGAAAAACCCATCTCTATTCCTAGCCTCTGCTAAGATGACTGATAAGGTCCGTGAGTTACACCCCATGATCTCTTTATCAAGTGGTTATTCAGCCATACCCTTAGTGCTGTTTTCAAAACAAGCTTTTTCACTTTTGGCAATATGGATGGGCTGAGAATTTTCCCAGTCTTCAAGCTCTGATTCCTTTGTGTTTAATGATTCTTCCTTTAATTCCTCTCTCCTCTTGTATTTTACTATAAGCAGTAAGAAGGACCCTAGTTGCACTTACACTATTTTGCTTAGAAATCTCCTTTGTAAAATATCTAATTTTATCACTTGTAAGTTCTACCTTCTACAGAACACTAGGACACAATTTAGTCAAGTTCTCTGCCACTTTATAATAGGAATTACCTTTCCTCTGGAGTCTGGGACCTTTCTACCAGCTGTGGGTGCTGCTTCACCACCCTGCCCTATATGGTTCTTCCCTGGGGTTAGGGCTGCTGATTGTCTCATTCTGATCAGTAATAAGACTAAGTACTTACACTTGGTATCCTATTTTGTCTTCATGACAACCCTGGATGGTAGGAGACTTAGTTTTCTAGGGTTGCCATAACAAAGTACTGGGTGGCTTGAACCAGAAGTTTACCCGAGATCAAGAAATCAGGATGTCAAGAGAGTTGGTTTTTCTCTCCTTGGCTGTGGGTGGTTGACTTCTCCCTGTGCCTTCACATGGTCTTTTGTCTGTACCAGTCATGTCCACATTTCCTCTTAAAATATACCCATCCTATTGGATTAGGACCTATCCACATCACCTAATTTTTTAATCTTTTAAACATCTCATTGATTTATCTCCGTTATCTCTTTGAAGACCCCATCTCCAATTACAGTCACATTTTGAGGTTCTGGAGGTTACGTCTTCAACATAACAATTGGCGACAGGGGTTTGGTAGGGGGAGCACCATTCAGCCCACAGCAGAGGGCAAGGGCTATTACCCTTATTGTATAGCTAGAAAGTGAAACCTGGGTCAGTTCTTCCTCAGTGCACACAGTCGCTAGGAGTGAGACTGGAGCCCCAGGTCCTGGACTCCCAGTTCATTTTTTTTCCACAGCAGGCCTCAGCCACAGGATGGCTATACTTTCGCCTGTTTGGAGAGGGGCATCTTCAGGAAACCTAGACTTAGAATTCATCATTGGTCTTGCTTTGAAAGCACTGTCTTTCCTCCCTTCTTCTTAAATTTGATTTCCCTCAAAGTAGGCCATGATTTATAGTTTATTTGGGAGACAAGCCCAGGAACCACCAATAGGAGAGTGGGGAAGTAATATAGGGGAGAAAAGCCAGACTATGAAAGATGCATGACTGGGCAGGTTGCTATTGTGGGCCACTGGGTCTTAGTCCTGCTGAGGCACTCTGGGAGACTATGTACAACATGCTTCAGAGGTGTCCTTCCAACACTTAGGAATGAGGGAGCCAGGCTGTTCCTCAACTCCTGATGGTCATTGTTTAAGAGCAGATCCTCTGGGTGTCAATCCCTCCAGCACCTCTGACATGCCCTAGAGAAGGCCATGGATAACTATGCCTGTGTCTGGAGGGTGCTAAGGCACTGTATTAGTTATCTATTGCTGTGTAACAAATTACTACAAACATAGTAACTTAACACATTCATTATCTCACCATTTCAGTGGATCAGGAGTCACACCTGGGCATGGCTTAGCTGGGTCTTCTGCTTTAAGCTCACTCTCAAGGCAGAAATCAAGGTGTTAGTCTGGGCTGGGGTCTCAGCTGAAGGCTTGACTGGGGAAGGATCTGCTTCCAAGTTCATTCCTCTAGGACTTATGGACTGATGTTTTAGCTGGTGGCTGACCAGGTGTCACCTACAGTTCCTTGCTGTGTAGCTCTTTTTAGCATTGCTACTTAAAGCATACAAACCAAGAAGGCTATCAAGAAAGTCAGCAAGATGAAGAATCTTATGTAAGGCAATCACAGAAGCGATATCCCATCCTCTTTGCTGTATTCTGTTGGTTAGGATCAAGTCACAGGTCCTGCCACACCTAAGAGGGAGGGGATTACACAAGGACATGAATACCAGGAGGTGGAGGCACTATAGTCTGTTACACGGCCATCTGCTCACTTGATAAGTTATTGCTGACTGGAGACATTTTTTGTCAAGAGACCTCAGGATTAGAAATAATTTTACTGCAAATCAGTCAGAAAATCTAATTTTAAACTAAAATTTATTTATCAATATTTATTTGACGTGGTCATTGGGGGCTAGTCAGATGTGATTTTTTTCTGGACTTGACATGGATTCTTCTGTGCTTTCCTGTCCCTAGTTAAGGGCTAGGCATCTTGGGTTTTCTGTGGTAGGGACTCTGAATTCTTATGATCTTCCCAGGATAGCCTGTGGAGCCAACTGCAGTTCTTGTTCCTTTTGTAGGATTTCAAGGTGAGTTTGGAATTGAGTGAGAACTTCAGGAACTTCAGCTAAAATTCCATATAGGTTCTTAATATGGAAATTTATATACTGAAGTCTTGCTTCCTATCTGATATTTGAACAATTCCTATAGCCACAGGATGGCATTAATCTTTCCAGCACTTGTCACATGCAGATGACATAGAAGATGGCGGATTATTTATTTATTTATTTATTTATTTTATTTATTTTAACTGTGATGACCAGAAGAGCAGAATCACTTTTTTGGGAAAAGAATATATCAGCCTTATCAACTTTATCAGTGTCTTGTACTAGTTCTGCATTTTTAAAAAAGATTTTATTTATTTATTTGACAGAGAGAGACACAGCAGGAGAGGGAACACAAAAGGGGAGCGGGAGAGGGAGAAGAAGGCTTCCCACGGAGCAGGGAGCCCGACGTGGGGCTTGGTCCCAGGACCCTGGGATCCTGATCTGAACCGAAGGCAGACACCTAATGACTGAGCCACCCAGAAGCCCCCTCGTTCTGCATTTTAAAGTTATTATTTTTTTTTTTGGTCTCCTTCCAGAAGCCATGTGCAGGGTAGTGGTTAGGGCTTATAAGCTCTGGAGCTGTATTGTGTGTGTTTGAATCTTTGCTCAACCACTCACTAGCTGTGTGACCTTGGGCCAGTTACCTCTCTGTGTGTCAATCTCTTCAACTGTAAAATGGGATAATGATAGTACTGTCTTTATGGCGTTCTTGTGAGGATTAAATGAATAAAAATGGACAGAACACTGGCAGGAGCCAACAAGAGTTTGCAATTACTAGTTTGAGAAAGCTAAATAATACATTAGGAAGAGAAATTTTTGAGTGATGGAGATGACTAAGGGGATTTATGAAGCCTGCTATTTCTGGACTAAACAAAAATTCTCTATTCCCTTTTTGGATTCTATTTCTGAAAAGGGCCCACCATAACTGTGATTTCAGGGCTCTGGAGAAGATGTTCTTAACTCCCTAGATATCCTCCCTCAACACCAATAATACATAGCCACCTGAAGTGTCTCAATAAACACATGACTTCCTGGTTCTGGCCAGACGGAACTTGGATCTTCGTGACTCAGCTGCTTATAATTCTAGCAGGTTTTGACAGGAGAATGGGGAAAAAGCTTGTGGACTCAGCAATTCTGAAAGTGAAATGGGAGTGAGTGAGAAGCTCTGGGTAAGAAAGGAGGGGATAGAGACTGGGGGGATGGAGGGGCTGGAAGAGCTAAAGCAGAAAGACACAATTTACTCTGGCATCTGAGATGGAGTATTGGCCAGTTCTTGAATGGTTGTGGTGGCCATCTTCTCTTTTTCCAAACCAGGAGTAGCTCACATAGAGTGGCATTTCTTACATGTCAGAGTACAAAGGAATTACTAGGGATGCTTGTTAAATAAAAAGCTTCCTAGGTCCACCTCCAGAAATTGTTTCTGTGGCAGCCCTGTGATGGAGATTGTGGGTTTTATGGGAGCATCTAAAGGTGGTGGTGGCCTAGAGCTAGAATGAGCAGAGGGGCCATGATCTGGTTGGGGGAAATGACCAGGGGCTTTTCTGGAAGCCATACTTGCCCTGCAATCAACATTAAAACAAAAATACAAAAACAAAACCATGTGGAGTGAATGCTGATTTGGGGAAGCTGGTGGAGCTGGGTAGGGGGAGTGGTTTCTAAAGTCCTAAGTTACCACGTGACATTCCTACTCTGAGGGCATATTGAGAGAAACTGTCAGAAAGTAGAAGTGGAAGATGCTTTAGGTATGCTGTCATTTTACAGACTGAGACAGTATTGCCCAGAAAGGTTAAGTGATTTCATCAAAGTCACACAGCTAGTTAATGGCGGGTCTGAGACTGTAATCAAGTATTCTGGTTCTCCACCCAGTTCCCTATTCACTAAACACCTGTTCCCTCTGGGATGAGGAGAGGGGTGAGAGGAGAAAGTAATGAGAATTGGAGGGAGCTGGGCGCACAGCCCCAGACCGCAGGACAACAAATTTTGCTATAGTAGAAGAATTAGAATAGGGATAATTTGGGCTCAGAATTCAAATGGTCAACAATTGCTATTAAAACCCCTAGTAGTTAATTTTTTAAAGGCAGTAGTTAATTTTCTAAAGGCAGATTTCCCAGGCAATAAATGTTCCAGCTGTAGGACTTTTTTTTTTTTTTTAATCCCAGGGAGAATATATCGTTAAAGGAAGCTCACGTTTCAGATTTCCTTCCTAGTAATAAAATCCTCATACTAGCTCTTGGCTAAGTTCGTAGTGCCGGAGTGGACGTGGGCAGAGGCCAGGCGGCGGTACTGCGGCAGCGCGGGCGGCGGGCAATGCGGGTGGGGGCACTGCAGCATAGCGGCCCTGGGGCAGCCGGGCAGCGGCCCGCTAGAGGGGGCGCTGTGGGCGCCGCCAGGCGTCCTTTTGTCAGCGCGCACGGCCAAGAGTGCTCTCATTTCCTCCCAGCCTTGTGCGGGAAATGGATTTAATTCTGACCGCAGGGCTGTGAGGGACGAGCGTGAACGACAGCCTTTTGTCAAGGAGTAGCGGCTTCTGTTGTCTGTAATCACCGCTGACGCGGGGAAGCTGCATTGCTGGTGGAATTCCAGGCAGCTCTGACAAGTGTGGGGCTGCGGGATGGGAAGAAAACATTGCTCTGCAGATTAGCTGGGTGCATTTATTAAGCAGACACCCAAAGGAAAAGAAAACAAAGCAAAACAACAACCCACCGTGGAAGACCAGGGATGGATAAGATGCTGTGCAGGAGGTAAGCCCGGCTTGGGAATGGGCGTCGTGGCTTGCCTTGGTTTTGTTTCTTTTGATGGAATTTGAGACCCCTACAGCAACCGTCCGTCCACTGTGCGGGAGCTGGTTGGTCCCGATTGTCGAGGGTCTGCTTGTGTGTGTGTGTGTGTGTGTTGCCGCCCTTCCCCACGGCTGTGTGTTTTGTGTCTAAAGGTTTCTGTAGATGATGTAAAATTGGAGGATCTTCGCAAAGATCCTCCGGAGCCGAGTAGGGCTGGCCTCTGCGTGGGGACGGTGGGACACACTCGCTCCGAGCGCCACGCCTGACAGGTGGGGCATTCTTCTGGGTCAGGGCTGGCGGGAGGCAAGCTTCGCTTCACGGGGGCTGCCCCTCCCTAACCTTCCTGCTTGGCCGCCGCCCTCCGGGGGAGCGGTGAGGAGTGCTCGGCGGGCTGGGCGCGTCCCCCGGGCGTTGTCAAGGCTCGAGGCGGGGCTCTCTGCCGCAGCTGCGAGGCAGCAGGTGCGGCATCGGCGGCGCCCTGCATTTGGGGCAGGGGAGCTGGCACGTGAGCGGGCCCCAGTGGATCTGGATTTTTATGCCGTTCCACCACTTTGGAGGGAAAAAGGGCCACTGTCCTCAAGAGGTCTTGCCAGTCTGTTCCTCCCTTAGCTTTCATCTTCCCTCCCCCTCTATTTTCCTGCCTCCTCTCCCCTCCTGTCCCCGGGTTGGAGACCACCCTTGGTCCGGGAGGCCGGGTGGGGTGGGGGGCGGGCAGCTTCTGCCAGTTTTGAAATCACAACCACTGAGCTACCAGGTGTTAGGTTTGGGATGGAGTGGGGGCGGGGCAGACTGCTTTAGGATGCGGATCAGGCGCTCTGTCTAGCCTATTGTCTTGCTTTTTCTCCCCCTTCCTTTTCTTCTATAATCTCCACCCCTCGCCAAAGAGAGGGAGAAAGAAAGACCGAGAGAGAAAGCCCCAGGAGAGAGAGGGAGGGAGGGAGGGGGAGAGAGAGAGAAAAGGGAAGGGGGGGGGGGAAAGCCCCAGCCCATACCCTATCAAATTCTTTTAAAAAAAATTGTCATTTATCTGTGACACATGATTATTACCCATCTGTTTCTTTACACCCACTCTTGCCTCTTGCAGTTTGTTGTCTAAGATTCAACTGACTCAAATGAGCCTTATTAATAATAGAAATCAAATCTGTTTGCTAAATGGACATTTTGTGCTTTCTGACTAAGCCCAAAGGAGAGGGTGATCTGACATCCTGGTGGGAGCAAGTGATTGGAGAGGGCAGACCCACCTCCTTTCACATCTAGTGTGGGTCTAGTTAAGGTACATGAGATGCATGTTTAACTTGTAGGGGTGGCCTCGTTAAAGGGATTTAAACATTGGGTTTCATTTTAAGAGAGAATTGGTAAACATTTGAAGTGAAAATGGTTTAAATGAATAAGAGCAGATAACTGAAGTTTCAGACTTGCAAGTCACTCTAGCCACTAGCATATGAATAGTCTATGTTAGATTTTACAGAGGGATTTAGATCGTTTAATATTTTTGCTTTATAGTGTTATACCTTCATTCTGTGGTCAGACTTTTGTCAGTGGGTAGGGACCAGGATCTTGCCCAGACCTGTCTCTTTCCCCACCCCTGTCCACTTTTCATCTCCCCACCCCCAATAGCAAACCTTTTACTATTGTAATTTCAATATATTTTGGAGAACCACTAAAATCTTTGATCCCAAATCCATACAGTTTGTGGGAAGCCATATATTCTTTCTTGTCCAATTGCTTAACCTTATTAGAAATATGCTTGTTACATACAAAATACATAGCACTGCCTGAAATGACACACCTCATGTGGTTTCTGGGCTTGAGTTGAATTGGCTTTAAATGTTAGGATGGTGCTAGAATTAGCACATCACAGTATTCTCTAAGAGTTTACAGGTGATGAAATATGTTTATTGGGACAGAATTCAGTGTTAAGTTTTCAAAAGTATGTTGGAAAGACTTTGATAAATGTATTTATCTACCTTGTTCTACAAGAAATCTAAGACAGTTTATTGGTCTTTATAAAACATAGCAAGGGAGACTAACTTAGAAATAAATGAGAAAGAAAAAAGAAGACTAAGGGTAGAGATATAAAATGGTATTAAGAATGAAACTAATACAAAAATACAAGCATAAGACCCTCTGTACTTGTTATGAAGGTAAACAAATCCAACTCTAAACTTTCCAGCATGTCACCAAACAGGAAGAACTGACCAACCCATGACTCATGTGTTTTATTTATTTATGGACTCACCCACCCATTTGTTCATTTAACAAACACTCAGTGAGGCCCTACTATGCGCCAGGTTCTGTGAAGGGTGCAGGGACAGACATGGTCTCTGTCTTGACAGCACTTAGTGATGAAGGAGAGGAACTGACCTCCATCAGGAAACCCTATAAATGAATGCATAATCACAGATTATTCTGAGAGCTGTGCAAAAAAGCATGAAACGCAGAATGTCACATGTCCAGAACATAAAACACAAAACAAAAATGTAAGTGAAGCACAATAGTTCTTGATTCTAAGAGCAGAAAAGAACTCTTTGAAAATATAACATTGTTTGGAATGGTGGCTTCAATCATGTTCTTGTCAGATACAAGGAGGGATTCATACTGCTGTGTTGTTTTTTTTAAGATTTTATATATTTATTTGACACAGAGAGAGATCACAAGTAGGCAGAGCAGCAGGCAGAGAGAGAGGGGGAAGCAGGCTCCCCAATGAGCAGAGAGCTCAAAATTCGATCCCCAGACGCTGAGATCATGACCTGAGCTGAAGGCAGAGGCTTAACCCTCTGAGCCACACAGGTGCCCCAAACCACTGTTTTTAAAGTGTTCCTCAGTGTGAGTTTATACCACTCATGGGTCTCTCAGACCACTGAGGTTCTGAGATCTATACATTTTGAGGGATCTGTGTCTTCTCTAAAATTAGCAGTTTTACTTTAGTGATAATCTTAAATAATTAATAATAAAATATGTTCTGGATTATCTTGATGGCAACTCCAAAGCCAATGGTGGGGCCTGTATTTGCCTCTGTGTCTTTCCATGTGAGCCAGGAGCAGGCCTGGTGGCTCAGGTCATGAGGCAGAGAGGAGTTTAACTAGAGGTATATGGAGAGAACAGTGAGTCCACACAGGGCATAGGCTCGTCAGGCTCAGAAGAACAATTCCTGGGATCAGCACTATATTGTCAAGGACTGATGCTCTCATGCTAGTCGTACCTTCATAGTTACTGAGTTGCGGGAACTTATTAGCAGCAGGTGTTGTAGTGAAAACACAATGACAGAGTTCCTGTTGCTGGTTTCAGCAATAATTGGATTAGATCTAAATTTGATGCAGATTTAGTAACCCCCAAAAACTACCTTGTGTCCAAAACAATGAGACCGGTAATTTGGTGTAATGATTGAGTGGAGCCAGACTGTCTGACTTCAAACTCATTTTTTTTTTTTTTTTTTTTTACTTACTAGCTGTGAAACTTGGGCAAGTTATTCAACCTCTGTGATCCTCAGTTTCTTTTGATAATATGGAGATAAATATGTGGTATTGATTTCATAGTGACATTGCAAGGATTAGAGTCACTACATGTGAAAGACTTGGAGCATATAGTAAAATTCAATAGATGTTAGTGATGTTAGTTACTATTTTTATTAGTATGAAATGGTGCCCATTTATGTAGGCATCTCAGGATGGTTTTTAGAAGAATTTTAAATTATGGTACCTGATTATCTTCAAGGTAGCAAACACATTTTTGAGGTTACTAATATTATTTTGCACACATGCTTTATTAGTTGCCCGCATTGGTATCCTTGAAGCCAAAATTCAGATAGTGATAACATGTAGTAACTAGACCTGAGACTATATCTTTCTGTTGATAAACCCAAAATGGAGTTTTAATTCCAGCAAAACAATATCCTCTGTTGCAAGAAGATAACTTTATGTATTTGACATTTTAAAGTTTTACAGTTGCATTTATTTGTAAATTTATTTTGGCATTTTAGTTATATGAAAGCTATAATGCCTGGGTGTTTTTAACTGGTCTTTATGAGTGTACTTATTTAAGTTACATTTTAATAAATGTGACTTAGGTCAACCTTGGGTCCATGAGAAATTTTTTCCTTCAAAAGAGATTTCTGTAGGGGCGCCTGGGTGGCTCAGTGGGTTAAGCCTCTGCTTTCAGCTCAGGTCATGATCTTAGGGTCCTGGGATCGAGCTCTGCATCAGGCTCTGCTCATCAGGAAGCCTGCTTCCCCCTCTCTATGTCTGCCTGCCTCTCTGCCTACTTGTGATCTCTGTCAAATAAAGAAAATCTTAAAAAAAAAATTTCTGTATAGTGTAAGCATTTTGGACTATGGACAAGGACACACCCAAGATGTTTGAAATAGAATTTTGAATCTCTAGAAGAGAGATTGCAGCCCTAATATTTTACTCTGTATACCTTGGCTACCATAGTTTTAGCTTGAAAGAATTTTAAGACCATATGCATTTATATTGTATTCTATTACACACAGGTTTTATTTGCTGCTGTGTTACTTAGGGCCCTGGTTGCCAAGGACTGATGGCTTTTTTGGGATGGGGGACATTTAATGCGAAAACCAGGACATGCCAGGCAAAGGAAAACAGATCTATTTTAGTTGCAGAGAAGAGAGAGATATCAAAGGGCCTAGATTCTTCAAGGACTCTCTAGAAGATATGGTAGAGATGGTGCCAACCAACATCAACCAGCCCATGAGTCAACAAGGGGCCCTCCCCCAAGGAAGCAGGGATATTCTTCCAGCTGAGTCCTAGAAAAATACTCAGGCTCAATGCACAGACCTGGATGCACTATGGTGTGGTTAGGGGGAAGGTGGGGGTAATAATCAAAGGGCTTTAGGAACTTTATCAGCACCTTCTACCTTGAGTAACTGGACCCCCGATCCTGATGTGTGCTGAGGGACCCCCGAATAATGTGGGGCTTTAAGATAGCCAGCTTCAAACCAGGTC